TTGAGGTACAGGGAGAGACTCCCAGCCTCACAGGAGAGTTCATTGGAGAGACCCACCAGGTCCCAGGATGTACACAAGCCCACCCGCACGGGAATCAGCACCAGAAAGGCTCAGTTTGCTTGGGGGAAGTGGTGGAAGGGACTGAGGTCTGACTGAGAGTGGAGCAAGCACCATTGTTCCCTCTCTGACCCTGCCCCCACATACAGCGTCACAATCCAGTGACTGGGTTGCTCCCCCACAGGAGGGAACACCTAAGGCTCTGCCCCTCATACCTAACAGACACGAGAAGACCAAAAAAAAATAAATAAATAAATAAAAAGGCCAAATGGAAGACCAGATCAAAGCTTCAGAACAAACACAACTAAGCAACCAAGAGATAGCCAACCTATCAGATACACAGTTCAAAGCACTGGTGATCAGGATGCTCACAGAATTGGTTGAGTTTGGTCACAAATTAGATGAAAAAATGAAGGCTATGCTAAGTGAAATAAAGGAACATGCACAGGGAACCAGTAGTGATGGGAAGAAAACTGTGACTCAGATCAATGCAGTGGACTAGAAGGAAGAAAAAAATGACCAAACAGAAAAGAAGGAAGAAACAAAAATTCAGAAAAAGGAGGAGAGGCTTAGGAACCTCCAGGACATCTTTAAATGTTCCAACATCCAAATTATAGGGGTACCAGAAGGAGAAGAGGAACAGCAACAAGTGGAAAACATCTTTGAACAAATAATAAAGGAGAACTTCCCCAGTCTGGCAAAGGCAATAGACTTCCAGGAAGTCCAGGAAGCTCAGAGAGTCCCAAAGAAGTTGGACCCAAGAAGGGACACACCAAGGCACATCATAATTATATTAGCCAAGATAAAAACTAAGGAGATAATCCTAGAAGCAGCAAGAGATAAGGCAATAGTTACCTACAAAGGAGTTCCGATGAGACTGTCAGCTGATTTCTCAAAAGAGACTTTACAGGCAAGAGAGGGCTGGAAAGAGGTATTCCAAGTCATGAAAGAAAAGGACCTACATCCAAGATTGCTCTATCCAGCAAAGATTTCATTTATAATGGAAGGGCAGATAAAGTGCTTCTCAGATAAGGTCAAGTTCAAGGAGTTCGTCATCACCAAGCCCTTATTTTATAAAATGTTAAAGGGACTTGTCTAAGAAAAAGAAGATAAAAAACATGTATAGTAAAATGACAGCAAACTCAACAATTATTAGTAACCATACTAAAACAAACTAAGCAAACCAAACAGGAACAGAACCACAGAAATGGAGATCACATGGAGGGTTAGCAACAGGGGAGTGGGAGGAGGAGAGAGGAGAAAAAGTTACAGAGAATAAGTAGCATAGATGGTAGGTAGAAAATAGATACAGGGAGGGCAAGAATAGTATGGGAAATGTAGAAGTTAAAGAACTTAAGACACATGGACATGAACTAAAGGGGAATGTGGGTGGGAGAGGGTGTGCAGGGTGGAGGGGAATGAAGGGGGGGAAATGGGACAACTGCAATGGCATAATCAATAAAATATATTTAAAAATAACCAATTATAGCAGAAAGAATAATAGCATACAATGAGTATGAGTTACAAGATATATAGCTTTTACTTCTGCACATCACAATAACCTAGTAACATGCATTTTTAAGATGCTTTTTTACCACAAAGCGAATGACCAATTGAAACCAAGGGCCCTGATTTAATATTAGATTAGCCAAAAAGTCTGTTTAGTTTTTTTCATAAAACAAAGGCAGTTTTTCATGTTCGCCAGTCACTTTGTTGATTTGGCTATTTTGAGTATGTCGGCTATCTTCTGTGCAGTATGATATTGATTGTTCTTGTTGTCTCAATTTGACTGGTACCAACTTCAACTGGTCTTCCAACGGTGGAGCATCGTCCAACAAGATACGAAACCTTGCAATCACTTTAAGAGGTTTGTGCAGTCACAGCACCTTCTCCATACACTGCACAAACTTTTTTTTTTTTTGCATTTCAGTTGCATTTTTACCTTTTTTGAAATAATACAGCACAATATGCCAAAAATGTGTGTATTTTCTTCCATATTTAATATTACAGTGACTACACAAAAATTTACCTATTTTTGTAAGTTTTTTTGCACACTGATATGACAGCTGTCACAATACAATCTAATAAAATTGTTTTTGAACAACTACTAATTGGTACTAGAACCATCTTACAGAAAAAACCAATGAAACCTTCATTTACCCAGTATGTAGCCAATCTGTAGCCCCAGCCCATTCAGTGTTTTAACGGCATGCCCTGTAAGCCTCAGCCCTGAGACTATTCATTAACTCCCTGAGGCAGTCAGAAACAGTGACTGCCTTGACCAGAGTCACAAGTTAGGGGTTTTTGTTAAGCTAAAGATAACATCATGGCTAAATTGTAATTAGGTCCTGATCCCTGAAGCTCAACAATCTCCTGGCCACATTCTCATGAAGCCAGTCTGGAAGTCTACCAAGACCTAGAATAAGGATATACTGCCCTCATCTCACTCTTGACCAATTACCAAGACCAATGGCCCCAAACCCCTTACTCATGATGATCTGTGATTTTTACTTTATAAAACTCTTTGTAAACTATCAAGGATTTTGGGCTTTTGAGCATTAGCTTTCTGTTCTTCTCAGTGGTGCCAATATCCAGTCTTTCTCTACTGCAGTTCTTGGTGTTTAGTCTTTGGCTCTGTTGGTGTGGGTAGATAAACTCTTTCTGTTTGGTAATATAGATCTTTATTATATACAAGGCAATTCCTCTTTTAAAAGCATTGCCCACAATAGTATCACCATACCTAAAAGTACTTAAGGAATAATATTTCTTACTTTCTTTAATCCTCACCATAGTATACATTTATTGATTTTAGAGAGGAAAGGGGATGCAGAGAGAGAGAAACATCAATGTAAGAGAAACATTGAACTGTTGCCTCCTGTATACATTCCAACCGGGGATTGAACTTGCAGCCTTTTGGTGTATGGGACGATGCTTCAAGCAGCTGAGCCACCTGGCTAGGGTGGAATAATATTTCTTAATACTATATCTTTGTTGAGATTCCCGTAATATTATATCTTTGTTGAGGTTCCCTGTAGTTTTTGCTTATTTATTTATTTTTAAAGTTGGTTTGTTTGAAACCAGATAAAATAAGGTTTACCTGTTCATCTTTTTTTTTTTTTTAATTATCATCCCTCCTCATTTTAAACTCTTGATGCTGTCACCCAGATTATTGACATCATAAACCAGATTTTTGCGAGAGCTTTCTGTCTGGTTTCTCTAACCCCATTCACTGCCTCTTTTTTTCCACAGCCAGCAATTCTCTTCCCACCAAAGCTTTTGATCCATTTGGCTTCTTCCTAAAATATATATGTGGAGATGCCATTTTTAGGCTTAAAAACTTTCAGTGATAAGCAAAGTACAAAAATGTTTAGTATGCTTTCGAACTTCTTATGGGAAGATATAATGCTTCCTGTGTGGGGGGCTCTGCCCACAGGTTCCCCCCCCCCACCCCCAGCCACCATGGATGAGAATAAATCTACCAAGACAGGATCTGTTTGGGGAGGAAAGGTGGCCAATCTCTCAAAGGAGAAGAGCTAAGAGCCTTTTCCTCAGTGGGCTTTTATTGGCTTTCTATTTGCACAGGAATACAGGTAAAGCTCATTAACCATTGTCAGGCAGTAAGGATCAAACAATAGATAACATGCAAAGAACTCTGCGGGCTTATTTTGAGTCAGGTTCAGATAACAAAAGGGGCATAAAACTTTAAGAAACAAACTCATATTGTGCTCTGACCCTTGTCAGAAAATTGAGAACATTCTTACCAAAGCAGGTTTCACAGGGTTTTATGCATTCTTTCTTAGGCTTGATTGCCCCAGGGAACCTGCCCTCCAGGGCTGCACTGCCCTCTGTCACTGTTTCCCGTTTAAATCAGGCAGGGGAAGTAAGGCAACCAAGAGATTAGGAGACTTCTTGAAGCTTTGTTTCCTTAGTGTCTTATGGACCCAGGTTCTTTTACTCACCTTTAGCCATGGGGGTTCACAGCTTCTGAAACCAGGCGGGGCAATTTCCAACATTTCTGTGAATTTCTGTAATCCTTAGGTTAGACTCTATGCTTTAGTATTTTTAAAGAAGGGGATGATAATACAGCTACATTGTGTATTATGATAGGGATTAAAGAAGTTAATGCATGTGAGATATTTTAAACCATGTATTATATAGATAGTAGTATGTTACACAATGCTTTATACTTTGTACATAGTAGGCATTCATTCAGTAAAATGTTTAGAAATTTCGAATATTGGTGAATAAATGTATGAATTAAATGAAACATTATTCTTAGTTTTCAGAAATTAATGTAAGAGCAAAGTAGGGGGTTTTTTTTTACAACCAATATTTGTTCATTCAAGAAACTATAATCGAGTGGTGTCTATGTGTCAGGCAGTAGTGTGAAGTGTTGTGAACACCATGGTGAATAAAGACAGTGTGTGCCCTCAAGAAACTTACTAAAATACTGAATTACTCTATCAGTGCTGGGCTTCATAAAGAGTGTAACAGGAAGGAACCTTTGAATTCGTTTTGGCAATCAGAATAAAAAGTAGCCTATTCTGATTGAAAATAAGTCTGAAGAATGCTCTATGGTATACCAAATTATTATACCTTTATTTAGTTTACTTTAGAAAACAGACTATCAGCCATTGTATCCAACATTATAAGCTTAGTTGCCAGCATAGTTATTTCTCACAATCACAATGATAATAATTAGTGAGTCTTGACCTCATGTTAATAGAATTTTTGACATCTCTGAGAGCCTGAAATTGACTTAAATTATTGTTTCAGATAATGGTTCTATTTATGTAGTGATTACTCTAAAATTAAGTATGTTATAAAATTTCTATGACTTGCATTTTAGTCATAATTAGGAGATAGAGTGAAATTTGAGAAATTCTTGATCCTAATATTTGTGATTTTACATATAGAATCATTTGTATTTTTCTACACATTAGGTATTAACTCCACAAAACTTGGAATTGTTAAGAGCCCAAATACAACAAGAATTAGAAACTCCAATGAGAGAGCGTTTTAGGAGTCTGGATGAAGTAAGTAATTTATACAGAAAGAACTGTTCGTTTATCTTTATATGACTGTGAAAATTTGTTTGATGAAGAGCAGCATTTCCCTACCTGAAAGCCCTGCAGTGGCTACCCTTTCACGCAGAGTCCGTACAGTGGCCGTTAAGGCTGCACAGGATCAGACCCCATTACCTCCCTGATTTTCTTTTCCGCATCCACGTTAGCCTCATTGATGCCGCTTTGATATTCTAGAAATGGTACAATTCAAGAGTCTTTGCCCTAGCTGTTGCTTTTAGCTTGAACACTCTCCTTCCAGATATCTCATGGCCAGCCTCTCTATATCACCTTCTAAGTGAGGGCTACTTTGACCAATCCCTGCCCCCACTTAATATGCCAACTTGCCTGTTCCATCCGTCTTTAGCCCTTTGGATCCCCATTTACCCTCCTATACATTTTTATTTTCTCTAGTACTTACCATTTTCTGATATGTATAATATTCATTGTGCTTATTATTTTTGTAGTCTCTTTTACTACCTCTAGAAATGTAAACTGCACTGGAGGAGGAACTTTATCTGTTTTGCTCACTGTTATATTCCAAGTTCCTTGAACAGTCCCTAGCCTGCAGTAGGTGCTCAATTAATATTCACTGAATGAAAGAATGAATTTAATGCCATCTAAGAAAAGTAAAAATTTGATATAATTTTCCTACAGATTGTGATTAATTTTATATGAAGCCTTGGTTTAATATGACTAAATATTTAATAAAGGCGACAGGAAAAGATAATAGATATTAAATATGGTAGGTACTATACTAAATATTTTATATATGTTACCTTATTTGACAGATATACTGGGCCTTGTACATATAAGTGAGTATTGTCCCCTTCAAAATGGACCCCTTTGGAAAACTGTAGGCTAGTAATGTTGCCATTGCATAAAATAATTGTGGATCTTGTTCTATAAGTGGCTTACTGGCTTAAATCATCTTTTGAATATTCTCCTAATGGATAATCAAAGCATTATAACTTTGGGAGTAGGTTTAATTTTTGGATATGAACAAAATTGGTTAGACCCAAGTGATCAAGTTAAGTAACAACATTTTTTAAAATTTCCAAACAAAAAGGAGAAAGGACTCGTGGACATGGGCAACAGTGTGGTGTTTGCTGGGAGAGGGGATAGAAAGGGACTAAAGAATAATGGGGTAAAATGCAATAAAGATTAAATTAAAAAAATACCAAAACAAAGTATGTCTCTACTAAAATCACAAAACCCATTTCCCTGGTTTGTGAACTGGCTTAGAAGAGAAATCTTTTGACTGAATTATTTCCAGGGAGCTGAGTATTTTAGGAGCCTTCCTTATTACTGTATATCCTGGTGTATGTCAAAGTAGTGTCTCCTCCTCCTTTCTGTTCTGTTATTTAGAATGAGATTCAGAATGCCACCGACTTTCACAGTGTTAGGAAATGGGGTTGGAGCGTACCAGGGGATGCATGTGTTCCTGGTTAGTTGCGAAAGTTGGTGCTTCATATATTCTTCAGACTGATATATCAGGTTTAACTATTATTGTAATATTTGAACCTGAAGTTATTGTACTAAATATTAATCTTTTATGTACTTTGAATTCATTCTGTCTGACTTTTAGGAGTATTTTTTTGTTTTATCATCAAATTAATTTTTAAGCTGTTACATTTGAAAGGTGTGTTATGTTTTTAAATGTGATTTTCTTAAGTCTAGCGGTCAGAACTTCTGATATGCTATATACATTTCTGTACATTTTTTATTATTATGAGAACCAGTGAGGAAGTAAGGTTGAGTGGTAATTGGCTTTATCAGCGCCTTTTCAGGAATGTGCTAATTTTGTGTGTAGCATACTTGTTATCAGAACTTTTCCGAGGTTTATTTATACTTCTGTTAAACTTAGTTTTACATTTATAATTGCTCTGAGTATAATGTAATTTAAAATTATATTTGCAAAAGTAATTTTGGGGGTAAATATAAATTTCATTTATAATTTGTGATAAATTGCAATCTTCTTTTAACTTAGGAAGTTGAAAAGTATAGAGCTGAATATAATAAGCTTCGCTATGAACATACATTTCTCAAATCAGAATTTGAACACCAGAAAGAAGAATTTGCACGTATTTTAGAAGGAGAAAAAATAAAATATGAATTAGAGGTGAGTGATTGACTATAATAGTTGTTATCTTTCTAGTCAATAAAACTTTATGATTATATATTTTTCATAAATCCTGTTAGTGCTGATGCCATAATTAGTGTTATTAATTAATGATAAAGTATTTGTCATGCTTTCTGTCTGCTTGATAGTACTATTTTTGTGTGAATGTTCTTTTTGACTGTTAGATTTTTATACTCTTTGCTGCCTTTATTTTGCTCAAATCAATGGTGATGGTCTCTTTTCTCCCATAGCCACAGAGGACTTCTCTCTTTGCAAATATAGTTGTCCGTGTGATTCCCCATTTAGCAGTGTCCCCGTCTCTTTCTTGGAACCATACCACAACCAGGGGAGCTCTGGCTGTCAGCCAACGAACCTTGTTTCCACTGGTGTCAAGAAAGGGTTTGTACCTGACCGTGTGCCCGTCAACTTGTAGGAGCTGTGCTTCGTTCTTCGGCATCAGCAGCAACATCCTCTCTGCTGCCTACGACGTGCACTCCCACTCTGTCTCTGTTTCTCTGGGCAGCCTTTCCACTTGTTTTGTGGTTTGTCTCCTAATATTTCCAAAAATGGGGTTTGTGTTTCTCATTCTTTATGTTGCTTTTAGATGAACTTTCAGGATGGAGAGAAATACCAATTTTATCCTGGTATTGTCAAGTAACAAATATAATAGTAGTTGAACTTGTAAAAAAGTTTGTTGTCTGTAGTTCTGTGAAATATTTTATGTATCAGTGCATTTGCATTACACACTTATTGCATTGTTGTTATTCGGAATCAACAGTTAAAATATGCTTACTTTCCTTTACCAATAACTAATTGGATCAAGCTGACTTTTGTGAACAGTGAGTGTTCCATGATTGTTTGTTATGTAAGAAGCTGTATGAACTTTGAATCCAGTTCATTAACAATACAGTACCAGAAAACTATAAATATTTATGATAGTCTTTTGCATTTAAAAGTTCTTTACAGCTTTAAATGCTTTATTCACATATGATCTCACTTCGGTTGTAACAGTGTCTCCATTTTAAATGAGGACACTGAAGCACAAGACAAGTGACTTGTTCAAAGGCTCAGAGTCTCAAAGAAAGTCAGCAACCACGTTAACAATAGAAATCAGGCCCCCCAAATCCCAGCTCTGAGTTGTAGGTTTGAAATAACCAATGATTTGAAGTTGCCACCCTAATTAGGAGTCAGCCAGCAGCTCTAATTGTGTGAAGAGATAAATAGATTCATACTACATGTGATAATGAAAGAGTTTGAATCTGGAATTATAACAGATTTAGAGTAGCTGCATATAAAATTTTTCTTGTGGAAAGTAGAAATAATAAAGATTTCCAGTCTGAAATGTAGATTTAGTATACTGAAGAGTAAATAGTGAGATTAAAGATAGTGGTACTTTATTTTATACTTTGCCTTTTTAAATCTAATAATGGTGTTTATCTGGTAATGATTATTTGTGTCTTTTTAGTTAGTTTCTTAATATTATTGCTTTTGTAAAGAATGAAACCTATATCTGAAATCTGATGGCTAGTGTATTTTTACCCATGAAAGGTCAAAATATATTTATTAAAAATTTATTTATTTATTTATTTATTTATTGTTCAAGTACAGTTTTCTGTCTTATACTCCCATCCCACCCCACCCCACCCCACCCCCAGTGCTCCCCACCTCCCTCTCATTCCCCCCCACTTTAGTTTTTGTTCATGTGTCCTTTATACTTGTTCCTGTGAATCCTTCCCCTTTTCCCCTGAAATTCTCTCCCCTATCCCCTCTGGTCCCTGTAAGCCTGTTCTGTATTTTGGTGTCTTCGATTATATTTTTCTTGCTTGTTTGTTTTGTTGTTTAGGTTCCTGTTAAAGGTGAGATCATATGGTATTTGTCTTTCAACACCTGGCTTATTTCACTCAGCATAATGCTTTCCAGTTCCATCCATGCTGTTGCAAAGGGTAGGAGCTCCTCCTTTCTTTCTGCTGCATAGAATTCCATTGTGTAAATATACCATACTTTTTTTTGATCCATTCATTTACTGATGGGCATCTATGTTGCTTCCAACTCCTGGCTATTGTAAATTGGGCTGCTGTGAACATTGGGGTGCATAGGTTCTTTTGGATTGGTGTTTCAGGAGTCTTAGGATATAATCCCAGCAGTGGACCTGCTGGGTCAAAAGGCAGGTCCATTTTTAGTTTTCTGAGAAAATTCCAAACTGTTTTCCATAATGGTTGTACCAGTCTGTAATCCCACCAACAGTGAACTAGGGTCTTCTTTTCCCCACAACCTCTCCAACATTTATTGTTGCTTTGTTTATGATAGCGATTCTGACCATTGTAAAGTGGTATCTCATTGTGGTTTTAATTTGCATCTCTCTGATAGCTAGCAATATTGAGCATCTGTTCATGTGTCTCTGGACCCTCTGTATGTCCTCCTTGGAGAAGTGTCTGTTCAAGTCCTTTGCCTGTTTTTTAATTGGGTCGCTTGTCTTCTTACAGTGGAGTCGTTTAAGTTCTTTGTATATTTTGGAGATTAAATCTTTGTCTGAGGTATCATTGGCAAATATGTTTTCCCATACAGTTGGTTGTCTTTTTATTTTAATACTGTTTTCTTTAGCCATGCAGAAGCTTTTTATTTTGATGAGATTCCATTTGTTTATTCTTTCCTTTATGTCCCTTGCTCTAGGGGACATATCAGTAAAAATGTTGCTGTGTGAAATATCTGAGATTTTCCTGCCAATGTTCTCCTCTAGGACTTTAATGGTGTCACGGCTTATATTTAAGTCTTTTATCCACCTTGAATTTATTTTGGTGTATGGTGTAAGTCGGTGATGAAGTTTCATTTTTTTGCACATAGCTGTCCAGTTCTCCCAGCACCATTTGTTGAAGAGGCTATTTTTACTCCATTTTATGTTACTGCCCCCTTTGTCGAATATTAATTGACTGTAGAGAGTTGGGTTGATTTCTGGGCTCTCTGTTCTGTTCCATTGATCTATGTGCCTGTTTTTATGCCAGTACCAGGCTGTTTTGAGCCTTGTAATATAGTTTGGTATTGGGTATTGTGATCCCTCCTACCTTGTAATTCTTTTGCAAAATTGCAGCTGATCTTCAGGGTCACTTATGGTTACATATAAATTTTTTAAGTGTTTGTTCTATGTGAAATATGTCGTTGGTACTTTAATAGGTATTGCATTGAATCTATAAATTGCTTTGGGTAGTATGGGCATTTTGATGATGTTAATTCTTCCAATCCATGAACAAGGTATATGTTTCCATTTGTTTATATCTTCCTTGATTTCTTTCTTCAATGTTGTGTAGTTTTCTGAATACAGGTATTTTACCTCCTTGGTTAGGTTTATTCCTAGGCATTTTATTTTTCTTTTTGCTATATCAAACGGGATTTTTTCTTGATTTCAGCTTCTGCTGTTTTATTGTTAGTATACAAAAATGCCTTTGATTTCTGGATATTGACTTTGTAACTCGCTGTTTTGGCAAATTCATTTATTAGTTCGAGCAGTTTTTGGGTAGAGTCTATAAGATTTTCCATGTACACTCATGTGATCTACAAACAATGACAGTTTTGTTCCATCCTTTCCAATTTGGATGCCTTTTATTTCCTTTTCTTGTCTGATTGCTGAGGCTAAAACTTCCAATAGTATATTGAATAGAAGTGGTGAAAGTGGACAACCTTGTCTTGTTCCTGATCTTAGTGGAAGGGATTTTAGTTTTTGCCCATTGAGTATGATGCTGGCTGTAGGTCTCTCATATATGGCCTTTATTATATTGAGGAATGCTCCCTCTATTCCCACTTTGTTGAGTGTTTTTATCATGGATGGGTGTTGTACCTTATCAAAAGCTTTTTCCGCATCTATTGATATGATCCTGTGGTTTTTGTCTTTGCTTCTGTTTATGTGATGTATTACATTTACTGATTTGTGAATATTGTACCATCCTTGCATCCCTGGGATCAATCCCGCTTGGTCATGGTGTATGATCTTTTTTTTTAATATATATTTTTTTATTTTATTGATTATGCCATTACATTTGTTCTATTTCCTCCCTTCATTCCTCCACCCTGCACACCCCTCCCCCACCATTCCCCCTTTAGTTCATGAACACATGTCTCAAGTTCTTTAGATTCTACATTTCCCCTCCTATTCTTACCCTCCACCCTATCTATTTTCTATATACTGTCTATGCTACTTACTTTCTGTACCTTCTCCCCCCTTCTCCTTCTCCCACTCCCCTGTTGCTAACCCTCCATGTGATCTTCATTTCTATGGTTCGCTCCTGATCTAGCTGTTTTCTTAGTTTGCTTTTGTTTTAGGTGTGGTTCTTAATAACTGTGAGTTTGCTGTCCTTTCACTGTTCATATTTTTCATCCTCTTTTTCTTAGGTAAGTCCCTTTAACATTTCATATAATAAGGGCTTGGTGATGATGAACTCCCTGAACTCGACCCTATCTAAGAAGCACTCTAACTGTCCCTCCATTTTAAATGAAAGCCTTGCTGGATAGAGCAATCTTGGTTGTAGGTCTTTGGTTTTCATGACTTGGAATACTTCTTTCCAGCCTCCTCATGCCTCTAAGGTCTCTTTTGAGAAATCAGCTGACAGTCTGATGGGAACTCCTTTGTAGGTGACTGTTCCCTTATCTCTTGCTGCTTCTAGAATTCTCTCCTTCATTTTAATCTTGGCTAACGTAATGATGGTGTGCCTTGGTGTGTTCCTTCTTGGGTCCAACTTCTTTGGGACTGCCCGAGCTCCTGGACTTCCTCGAAGTCCATTTTCTTTGCCAGAATGGGGAAGTTCTCCTTCATTATTTGTTCAAATATGTTTTCCACTTGTGACTGTTCCTCTTCCCCCTCTGGCACCCCTACAATTCGGATGTTGGAGTGTTCAAAGATGTCCTGGAGGTTCCCAAGCCTCTCCTCATTTTCTTGAATTCTAGTCTCTTCATCCTTTTCTGCTTGGTCATCCCTTCCCTCTTTCTGGTCCACTGCATTGATTTGAGTCCCA